GGGGAACTGGAGTGTGAAGGGGGAACTCTGATGTGAAGGGTGAACTCTGATGTGAAGGGGGAACTCTGGTGTGAAGGGAGAACTCTGGTGTGAAAGGGGGAACTCTGGTGTGAAAGGGGGAACTCTGATGTGAAAGGGGAGACTCTGATGGGAAGGTAGGATCCAATGTATTGGATTTTGCTTTCCTTCTCCCTTCCTCTATCCATTTCTCTCTAGTGCCTGTGAGAATGTTATTTGTGGCACGGAAATAAGAAGTATTTTGTGGATACAAGGACAGCGGCCTGAAATCTTTTTTTTAAGTGAGAAGTGACTGTCACGTTTCTGACTCCTTCTGCAGAGGTAAGTGTTTATTTTTATACTGGCATTTGTATTATTGTGGAGGTTATTCACTAATCTGCCAAAGGCAGCCTCTTCGGCTATTCACTGCAGCCTTGTATGGCTATTTTTAGCCGTACATCGGCTGCATTTGGCCCGCTTCACCTCCCTTCAGCTCGGCCAAACAGCCTCAGCACGTTCTGCCAAACCGAAGGGAAGAGCCAGTTCACCTCAGCGAATACAACATCTGGATTGGCTGAGGCAAATGATTGGCAGTTGCTTCTCTGCTGTTCACCCCTATTCCCCAGGTGGTCGAACAGCAGAGAATGAATTGCCAAATGTTCGGCTCAGCATTCGGCTCGGTCATTGTCTTGCTTCCTCAGAGGAAACGAACAGAATTAAAAATGTTATTTAAAAAAAAAAAAAGTGTGGGGTCCCCTCCCCTAATCATACCAGACCCTTTAGGTCTGATGGGAATGATGCCAGAAGTAAAACCCTTTAGGTCTTAGGCTGTTTGGCATGGCGTCACAGGACTCGCTACACCTGTTTGTTTACCTGCTAATTTAAGAACAGTGAGCTGTCATGGAATGAAAACAAATAGGCGAAGCAGTTTTTACATCACGACTTGGTCCGCCCATTTGTTTACATTCGGCCCGCACCTTTTTTTAAGAATAACGGACTTGTCAAAACTGATTTTTGTTTTTTTGTTCAATTGAAGGACTTTTCCACAGTGTGGTGTATTTATTTAACAAATACCCCTTACTCATTCATACGGGGGGATGGCATCTGGATGCAGATGAGCCACCCTGCCCGCAGACCCCCACAACCACCGGGCCAGGGTTGTGGGGAAAAAGTCCTTGTCCTCATCGCCCTGTCCCCAGGGGGACCCCACATTTTTTACATCTGGGGTCCCCCTTAACATTCTTACCAGACTGGTATGATTTGGGAGGGGGGACCAGCGCTCTGTGCTTCGGCTGCTGTACACGCTATTGAGAATAGTTTCTGCAGCAGAAGCGAGCAGAAGGATGAGCCGATTTTTTCTTTTAAACCTTCCTTACTTTTTAAGTGAGAACATTTTTAAGAAAAAAAAGGGAGCTGAACTCTGGTGATCTTTTATCTTTTCCTTGTTGTTCAGATAGATCTCCACCTCTAAGTTTGCTTAACGCTTTAGTAAAGGAATGAAGATTGTTCACTTAGAAAGGTTCAATGTGTCATCAGGGTGTGTGATGGAGGTGAGATCTGATCATTGTTTGATATGACGACTGTCTGAGCCTGAACAGAGATTAGAAAGTTAGCAAAGTGAATGTGAAAAAGAGAAAAGAGTCTCTTCCAATTTTATTACCTATAACGTGTGTGTATATATGTGTGCGTGTGTGTGTGTGTGTGTGTGTGTGTGTGGGGGTGCGCGCAGTGCCGTCACAAGGGGGGTGCGGCCCTCACCCGGGTGTCACCATTGCAGGGGTGACACCAAAATGACTCGCAGTCATTTTGGTGTCACCCCCCTCTAAAAGTCTGGCACTCGGTCATAGACTGAGAGCCCGACAGTGTCAGGAGAGAGGATGGGACCTGACGGCATACCTCATCCCGCTGGGTGACTGTCCCCTCCTCTCTCTGCCGGCATCCATCACCAAGACATTAATCAGATGGTCGTGCATGTGCGATGACGTCATCGCGCAAGCGCGAGGTGACGTCATGCACACGCGTGATGACGACACGGCGGGGTGTCACCCGACCTGACTTTGGGATGCCTGTGTGTGTGTGTTTCTAAACATTTGTTATTTTCAAAAGTTATGATAGAGCAAATGCAGTGATGGGAAAAAAGCAATTTTGGGTTAAACCAATAGTTTTTTTTCAAACATTAAACCTTGTGGGTTGTGTACCTGGAGGTGGGGCAGGGGCATATTCTTTGCTTACATACTTCATGCTATAATATGTCCCTCATTCCTATCTCAGGAAGTTGTAAGGTGCAA